CTTTCACGTAGCTCTGATTTGGGCCGTGGGGGATCCACTGCTGTAACTGCAATATTGATAAATGGAAAAAACCTATTGGTGTCGAATGTTGGAGATTCACGTGCAGTTCTTTCAGCAAGGGTCAGGCTATACAGATGACTACATGAACCGGACACTGAACGGTAGCATTGAGAACAGAGGAGGATTGTCTCAAATATGCCAGTCTTTGTACTGCAGCCAATTTTTACAAGTTCATTCTTTAAGCTCATGCACATACAACCTAATATGGTTATAACTCATAACTAATGTTTTGGCAAGACATTTGAATGATCAAATCTACTGCTGTAGTCGCTTACTGAAAATCTACCTGATGGGCTTCCTTTGCATTTTTTCTTGATGTAGCCAGTGAAAAGGAAATTGCAAATTGCCATGTTTTATATCTAGTTTATTATTTCCTTGTCGTATGTTAGCCTGAAATACATGCAAAGATACCGCAAAAGAATCATTGAAGGCCAGAAAACATCAGTCAGCTAATTCTGATCCATAGAAAATTTCAGTATTGAGTGAAACATACGGCTCTTGCTCTTATAAGTTTTTCATTTTGAGATTGGTTAAATTTGTTTTGCAAGCTTAACAGGAGATGTTCCTAGAGTTAACGGCCAACTGGCAGTTTTCACGTGCTTTTGGGACAAGAGCCTTAAATCGCATCTGCGATCAGATCCAGACATTCAAAATGCCAATGTAGATAGCAACACAGATGTTTTAGTCCTGGCGAGTGATGGTCTTGGAAGGTAAATCATTCAGTTTTAATGCCTTCTCTCATCCGTATTATCCACTTATGCACATATAAAATTGTCTCAAAGATGCATGACTGGAAATAGTCATCCTGTAGGAGTTATTCTTCTTCCTTGCATATGCTTAATTCAGGTGATGACTAATCACGAGGCCGTTGATATTGCAAGAAGGTTCAAAGACCCACAGAAGGCCGCAAAGCAACCGACTGCCGAAGCAGTTGAGAGAGCAAAGATGACATATCTTGTGTCGTCGTCAGATTTAGGGATAGAACTTTTAAGATCATATATACCCGAAATAAGAGTTTGTTGTACACAGGATGCCAATTTGGGTATTAGGCCTACATGAAAATAGATGCTTGCTGCGGTAACCCTAGAAGTTTAGGATTCAAAAACAAAACACAGGAATTGCCTCGTGTAAATTCGTTTATCCAGTAGGTTTGGATGTTTGATTTCTTTATGAAGATTATTAGGTATTCAATGTATATGATATTGTTTTTGTTTTACATGGTGTGGCTGTTCAGCGTGCATTGTATCAATGGATCGATTGCTTCTTAAAGCAGAAAAGCAGACCCTGATGATCATTTTGTTGTGTTTGAACCCTTAAATTATTTGAATCCAACGCTTCCTTTTCAGCTACGTAGGTTACTTGGCTTCTGTTAAACCTTACCTCACGTTGAAGCTTCATTAACTTCATTATAATTCAACAACTAATTTCAGAAAGTGGATAACTCTTATTGATGAAAATAGTTTACGTTAGGTACAAAATTATCCTAAATTCCTAATTTCTTCACACTAATAACTACAGTCACAGATAAACTACGTTCTATTTTGCTTTTATCTTAGTGGCTCTCTCTCTCTCTCGTTAAATTTAGGATCTTCTTGATTGAATGATTAAAAGAAGGGATAAAGTCACATTTAGTACATGTACTAACACAGAATGTTTAATGTGTTACATGTACTTTTAAATATCTGTGATACTTGGACTTTGTAAAAATGTATTATGTGGTACTTGTGCTTTGAAAAAGTATCCAATGCGATACATATACTTCGATAAAATATCCAATTTGGTATTTGAACTATCATTTTGTGTATTATTATAGTACATGTGAATTTTTATTGACCGGTTTGGTACTTATTAAAAATGTTTAACTCGTGTATCATAATACATGAAGTAATAGTTCAATTGCAACAATTACAAACAATATTAACTCAGGTTACCATAATAATACACATTGTGATAATGTGTATCGTATTGGACATTTGACAAAGAATAGACATCATATTGAATACTTTAAAAGTACAATACTCACGTTGGAAATGTATCAATGTATAGGTGCCATATTGGAGATTTCGTCAAAGAACGAATATTGAATTGGACATTTTAAAAGTATAGATTCTATATTGAATATTTTTAAAGCAAAGGTACCAAATGCGATAATATCTCAAACAAATGAAAGGATATAATTAAGGGTATTTGGTTCAAGGATTGGATTCCCATGGGATGGGAATCCCATTCCATGTTTGGTTGGCCGAGAATCTTATTCATGGTAATGTTTTATTACCAATAGTAGATTTTTTTGTATATTATCGGAATGTCATTACCTCCCTTCCCTTAGGTATGTAACATTACCGGCGTTTTGGACTAAAATGCCCTTAAAATTTGTATTTTTTTTCAAAAATATCCTTCTTCTGTCATTGAATAATAAAATTTTACGAAGGTTAAATTACAAATTTATCCTTAAATTATTTTAGATTTACAAAAAAAAAGTCTATAATTAAAATTTTATATGAATTCAGGGGTTAAAAAAAATACCCTTTCATTAAACCTTTTTTATATTTTTAATTTTGTAAAAAATATATAAATATTATGAATTTATTTTTTAAAGAAAATATATAAATTTTACAATTTGTAATATTATACAAATATAATAAGGACAATTTGGTCAAATATACATTCCAATAATCTTTATTCCTTTAACCAAACACGGTAATCTTACATTCCTGCTAAACCAACCAAACACAAAATACAACATTCTCAGTAATCCTATTCCCTGGTAATCTTTTATTCCCACTGGTAATCTTACATTCCGTGAACCAAACGCACCCGGGTAAAGTACCTAAAGGTTATAAAATTGGTATTAAACTTCTCAAATGGTTACAAAAGAATCATTAAATTTTATTAAACTATTACAAAATGATCATTAAACTTGATAAGTTTATCATTATTTTGTAACTTATAGTGATATTCCTATAACTGTTTGATAAGTTAAACTACTATTTTTAACTTTCAAAACTTTAATATCTTAAAAAACCAGTTCGATATAATTTAATAACCATTTATGTACTTTACTGTAAAAATTTGGTAATGAAAAGTTGTGTGGCAAACTTAACATTCCCTGCGAGAATATTTTTTTCTTTAATAATTTGAAGTGAATACAAATTATTATCTATTTAAAAATATTTAATTATTTGATAATGAACATTTATATTTTTATATATATAATGCAGTGTAGATAGAAAATGAACGCATATATAGGATTCCATAGCCAGTGAATGAGATTTTGTACAAATTCTTAGTTTTATGGAATTTATAAAAGCTATATTTGGATGGGGTGAGTAATAATGCAAGAAAGTAGTATATGATTTACGAATGAATTTAGACTTTTAGTTATGGGTAAATTTATAAAATTTTAAATAAAAAAGAATTTATAAAATTTAAAATATAAAATATTTAAAAAGTATAAATTTAAAATTTTAAACAACGCCTTCTATCAACGTTCTCTAAGTCCATCCCTGTATGGTTTAGTGTCCAGTAGTGGAGGTTGTTGTCCCCACTTTCCTGGGAGCTTTGAGACAGAGTTGGCGTTAGAAAATAAAAAGGCTTACAGCACAGTAGTTCAACCACTTACATCCACATCTTATTATCTTTCAATTCATCTCACATGCAACTTAACCCCACCGCCTTTATTATTATTTTTTATTATTAATATAAGATAAATATAAAATAAAATTTTAATGATACTTCTAATATTTTACATTAAACGTTTGTATCTTAAATTTTATGATATGAGATCTTAAAATAATAATAATTTATTTATCATCAAAATCGCTAGGATCCGCATTAACTATTTTGAATAAACTAGATTGGATTTAATGAAAACAAAGCCACACTCTTCCATCATTCACGTTTCTTTTTAACAATCACTTTATTTCAATTAAATATTTATATTATTCTTTTAGTTTTATTTCAATATAAAATATGTGATTCTTACTCTTTAAAAGTGAAAAAATGTATCTAAATGTTCACCAAAAAATTCCTTCAATTGACACACGAAGTTTATTAAAAAATAATTCTATTATAAAAATTAGTTATTTTAAATTATTAGTATATCAGTTAAATGAATTGTTATTATAACCTTATGAATTTATACTTATTTCATTTAGTAATTTGATTTTTACATATTTGCCCTTTTCCAATTGTGTTAAATGATACTAAATTAAATCAAATACTTTAAAAATACAAAATTTAGTCACACTCAATATGAGAAAAAGAAATTAAATCAATAAAATTTATTAAAATACATATATTGTAAAAATGGCTCCATTAAAATTTTAAAATACTTATTTATGAGTAAAATGGGTAAATTATTTTATAATCTTATAATATATAAATTTAACATTAACAACTAAATTTAGATAATTAAAGTTTTAACCATCATTAAAATTTAATAATTAACTGATTAAAATATTAATATTTTTAAAATTTGAGCAAATAAATTAATTTTTTTTATGAAATGATGAAAAGGCATGGTCCCGACACCACCATTTCTTTATTTATTTCACACTAAAATTTCATTTACCCCCCCCCCCGGGGGCAATCTGATCAAGCATGTGATGTGATCCAAAATGCCCATAGGCCATACTCACACCAATTGGCTGTAGCAGTTAATGTCCAGAAAAGAAAAGAAAAGAAAAGAAAAATAATAAATAATTGAAGTTACCAGAAGAAAAATGGCTTCAATCTCTTTGGTTGGTCAGATTACATTTGCATGCCTTAAACTCTTACCTTTCTTCTGCACTTTTTTTTTTGAGTTTTAATACCTCTCTCTAATACGACCAAGATCTAATTACAACTCTTTTTTATACCCACAAATTTTATTTGTTCAATACTGCTATATCCCTCCCAGTAATAAACTAAAGCAAAATCCATCACATCAAGTGATTAGAGAACAATCGTTTCACTCCCTCGGGAATGGTTTTGTGTTGAATTGATTCTACAGTTCCTTGAAAAAAAAATGACAAGGTGTTTCAGTTTAACCACAGCCAGAAACCAGCGTTACAGATCATCTTTCATCAAAGCAGGGCTTCGATCCACCACCACTGACCTCCAAGATGGCACCGTCATGCACTGTTGGGTTCCAAAGACCCTCGAAGACTCCAAGCCTAACCTCCTCCTCATCCACGGACTGGGTGCCAACGCTATGTGGCAATGGGGTGACATCGTCCGTAAGTTTATCCCTTCCTTCAACATCTTCATACCCGACCTCATCTTCTTCGGGGACTCGTACACGACTCGGCCTGAACGCTCCGACGCATTCCAGGCTCAGTGCGTGATGCGAGTTATGGAAGCCAACTCGGTGAGGAAACTCAGCCTGGTAGGCCTCAGCTATGGTGGGTTTGTTGGGTACAGTTTGGCAGCGCAGTTCAGTGAGGCTGTTGAACGAGTGGTGATATGCTGCGCCGGGGTTTGCATGGAAGAGAAAGATTTGAAGGAAGGGGTTTTCAGGGTATCTGATTTGGAAGAAGCTGCTCGGATTTTGGTACCCCAAACGCCTGAGAAGCTCAAGGAACTCCTGGGTTTTTCTCTGTTCAAGCCGCCTCCTTTGAGTTTGGTGCCTTCTTGTCTGCTAGCAGACTTCATTGACGTAAGTGAACCAACGACCATTTCAGTCTCTAGAACCACCACAAATTTCTCATCTCTGTTTATAGCCAATTGGGTGTCTCAACATGTCAGCATTTCGTCTGGGGTTTTCTTTATCTTTGTGTACGGGCAGGTTATGTGTACGGAGCATATTGAAGAGAAGAAAGAGCTGATCCGAGCAATACCCAAAGATCGGAAATTTTCAAACATTCCCAAAAGTCTCTCAGGTTCATCTTAATTTTAAACGGTTCATTTCTAATGCCTTTAGTAAACAAAGTTTGATTCAACTTTTATGGTTCTATTATTTTTCAGCCCACGTTGATCTTATGGGGAGAACATGATCAAATATTCCCATTGGAATTGGGTCACAGGTTCAAAAGGTTAGCATCTTTTGCAAAGAGTTTAAAATCAAAATGATTTTCCTTCTGGCTTCCCGCTGATCGAGGCATTGTTAAAAAATTATGTAGGCATCTGGGGGATAATGCTCACCTCGTTGTCATCAAGGACGCGGGACATGCTTTCAAGTTTGAGAAGCCCAAGGAATCTTACAGGTATTTGAAAACATTTCTAGCTGATTTGCAGGATTTGCAGGCTCCTCCGTCGACTCCATGTCCCATTCCAAACCATGAAAACCGTATTTCATCTTGCAATGGAGCAGAGAAGATACAACCTTGAAATTGAAGAGCAGACCGCCGAGGTTTTGTGTTTTATTACACCTATCAGAAATATCAAAGTTAACAGAGAGACGCAGAATCTATTAAGCTATTCAAAGGAGAGTTCCTCATTCTTCTGAGCATCGGATGCTTATTTTTGTTGGAGGAATCCATAGTACGAATTCTTGCCAGGAATTGATTCTTTAGTAAAATTCATCTTCCACAAATTAATTTCAATCATCTCTCCTGCATATGGTATCAATCTGTCACCATTTCCAAACAATTTAATGGCCATAGGGAGAATTATCTTTACTGTTGCATTTTCCATTTCTCGATCAGGTTCAATCGAAAAGGCCTGTGATTATAACTTACAAAGTCGGTGCACTAATGTACTGGGTCATTAATTTTGCAAAACGTTCAAGCACACAATCGAATCCTGCTGCTCCATAAATATCAGTCCCCAAGTTCCGAGAACTCAAACAAAATGGACATTTAAGCCATGTTTATGATCAAATTCAAGCAATAAACTGAAGAAAGAGAGTGAAGTGCGCAGCTCAGACAGAAATTGATGGAAAAACATGATAAGACAACAAAAAACTGATTAACATGAGAAAATAGGTCATAAGCCTATAACATAAACAGAATTAATTATGTTTAAACAGGAGAGAAAACATACAACGAGTTTGATGAACAATCGAACCATGCCATAGCTCACAAATCCCAGTACTACTACCACGAGCTGAACACCGGTCACTCTAGAAGCAAGACCATTTCCTACCTCAACAAGCCCCGTCTTAGAAGAATACTCTTTCATCCAATTAACTCTGCCAAAATACAGGGAAAAAAAAGTTTATTTGTTGAAAGAAAGAAAAAGACGGGGAAAGCAATAAAGATATGCACCACCATAGACATCTAAAATGCCAGAGCTAGAAGTCATCGGTTGATCATTGGTCATTCCAACTTAAAAATTGCTCACAATTTAACAGTTTCTTACCTCTGCCTGAGGTTCATCTGCTTTTGATTGCTCACCTGGAATATCAAATAATAATTGCAAGAAGGAAATTATCAGAGGCAGTTGTCAAATAGAAATTGCTAGTACTATCAGAAGGTGATATTTAGCAGATCATGCTTCATGAAACTAACCATAAATACATAAAATTGAGTCAGACAATAAGTAAACCACAACAATCATAATGTTCCCATAACAATATATTCACTTATTAATTATAGACACATGCACACAAAAGCATTTACCTCCCTCCTCTGGCAGATCGGAGGTCCATAAGGTAAGATTGTCCCTGAGAAGCTGCATAATAAGGGTGCTATCCTTGTAAGATTCTTCATTCAGGCTATCAAGCTCCGCAATAGCCTCGTCAAATGCTTGTTTAGCCAGATGACAAGCTCTGTCCAGATATTGTCACATTAGAAAAACACCACCTGTGTTTGCATGCAAGTAACAGAGAAAGATGCATTCTATTTTCTAACCTCTCGGGAGAATTTAATATCTCATAGTAGAAAACAGAGAAGTTCAAAGCCAAGCCAAGTCTAATTGGGTGAGTTGGAGGTAAATCTGAGCTTGCAGTGGAGGTAGCAACCTACAATATAAATAACAATAAATACTCCCCAAATTCTGGTGCAAAATCAAAATAAGGTGAAAGGGCTGATGAAAGGCAAAAGAAAAAGTAAAACAATGTTTTGGGGGGAGTTTCACACACCTCATAAGCCTTAAGTGACTGATCAGCAGTGTCATTACGATCATCTCCTGCCTTAAATTCTGCCAAATAACGAAAATAATCTCCTTTCCTGTTAAAGGAAAGGGAAAAAATAAGGATCACACTTGCACCTCCCATAAAAACATAAACGGCAAGTAAGATGATCACATCTTATAATAGAAAACAGTTGATTCCCCTGTTGATGAAGATGGAATGAGGTGCTTATCCATGACTGAGAGTCTATCATTGCATATCTTTGCAAGCTCATCTTCAACCCTCTGTCTGTAGTCCTTTATCCTCTTCACATTTTGTTCATTACCCTTGGCCTCCTCTTCTGTTCAATTGAAGACAGTATCCGCCAAGATGCTCTTCTTGCTCCAATCACATTCTTATATCCCACAGATAATAGATTCCTCTCCTCGACAGTCAGCTCAACATCCAACCTAGCGACACTCTTCATTGCCTCAACCATCTCTAAAATAATAAGATGTTAAATTTTAAAAAAGAAGATTCCAAATGAGAAGTTTCAACAAACAAGAAAGGCGTCCCACAGATTTTTTTCTCTTTATAAAAGGAAACACTTAATATATCTTCTATGAAAATGTTTATATAAAATATGCTAGTTTGACTTTTGTTTCTTCAGAAGTTGTTAAAGTGCGTAATTTAATAGCAAATATAAAAGAAAACCCCGTGTTCGTTAAAATATGAACAATAATTTAAAAAATAAAAACAATCCAAACATAATAATTTCGCATGAAAGTAAAAATCAAGCATTTCATTTCTCGACAGGTTTTTAACTTTAATTGGTCAACAATACTAACAGCTGCCTTATCAAATCGAACTTCGTAATGCCTAGATAAGCTAGTATCCATCTACTGCTATGTTTTCTTTTAAATTGTAACAGATGAAAATCATAATACTTTGCTTTCATTCTCAAGTCTCAACCTCGTCACCTATTTCAGTACATTATCATCAAATCTGAACCAAAGCCTCTACTGTTCTCTAAACTACAGATCAAGCTAGAAACCAAGTAACAAGACAAACGAAACGAAATAAGACTATCGATCAAATCAGAGAAAAATAAAGGACTAAAAATTAAACAAAAATTAAAACTCACGAATAAACAGAGAAATCCACCAAAATATTTACCATCATATCTTTCAGCTTGCTCGGCGAGTCTGCTACGTAAACTTGTTGTTCTCTTTCCTTCCCATTGCTTCCTTCGTGTCTCCGAGTCTTCGATCTTTTAAATTTTACGGTTCGGAAAAGCAGGTGGAAACGAAGGGAAACAACTTTTTAAGGAATGCCGTACTTTGCTCTCTGGCCGTTGGATGTGGTTTGATGGGGAAAGATGAATCGACAGTCCGGATTGAGTTCTACGAGAGGGGACTTTTGAACGAAAAGTCAAAAATACCCTTGGAAAAAGTTTTAAAATGTTGGTTGCGGGTGGAGGTTCAACCAATGCGGTGCAAGTGAGGGATTTGAGAAATTTGATCGTTGGATTGACGACAACTATGATCACATTGGAGGTAGTGATGTTGACTGGAAGGGACCACCACTGATTGCGAGTCCACTGGGGTCCACACTTTTTTTCCGAAGACTTTGTCAGATTCTTGGATATCCTGTAGTTCTTTCCACAAAATTACTCTTCTATTTTTATTTTGCAAAGCGACACAATTAATTATTAATTGAATATAAAATATTTAAAATGATTTTGGGCAATCTGCATGAATGCAGCTGCTGATGGAGGCTTTTATGCGTTCCAGTTAATGAATCATTTGGATCGAAGGAAAAAGATATACGGTGAGAAGCAAAACGAAGTCGTACACGGACAGGCTGAGGATATGAAAGGTAGAATGAATTTGACATAGCCACGAAGATGCACTTATTTATTATTATGTTAATTATTTTTGTTTTTGATCACACATCGGATTTGGATATGTAATTTACGTTCGTGTATCGTTTTTATTTCGTTCGACTCTGATTTATGATTTATTGGTGATCTTTTAATAGTTTGATCTCCTTTTATAATTTATTTGTTGATGTGATTAGATCTATTCGTATCTTGATTTTGTTCAAGTTTATTTGATTAGATTTTTAATATTTTTCTTTTATGGTCCTTTTATAATATTAAGTGCATAATTTTTGTATAAATAATTATAGGAAAATATCCTTATTATGTGTTTAATTTATGATTACAGTTATAAATCTTCATTATAATTTAAATATTTTCTATTTTTAATAAAACAAACTTCTTCTATTAAAAAAATTAAAAGCTTTGGGATAAAATTGAACCGATGGGTAGAGCAAGTTACCAACGTTAATAGAAAGGGGGAAACAAACGGTCTAACACCGATCTAAATGGTTAAACCTGAAATATTTGAATCCAGATATGGCCCTCTTTAACTTGGACCGGCTAAATTGTTAATCAATTATTTTCTTTTGGGCTTAATCAAGGGTTCTAACTTAAATTTTCTTCATATGCAAATCAAAGAAAGAAAATCGAATGATTTAGAGAAAATAACCACAGTGACCGAAAATGCCTTATAATATAAGATTTTGATCAATTTTTTTCGATTTGCCAAAATGACCAACAAAATCGCAACGCGATCTCCAGTATCGCAAATCAGTTTCCAGATTCGCAACGCGATTTTGACTATCGCATTGCGATTTTCCAAATTCGTTAAGAATTTTCTCTAAAAAGATAGTATCTGTGCGGACGTGTCGAACACATATTACCACGACCACGACTACGACCCGAGACGGGACGGCGGCGGCGGCGGTGCGCGAAAGTCCCCCTTGTTCTCTTCCACTCAACAAGGAAGTGGGAAATTCAAGCCTTAAATACCCATTCCCAATAGTATTTCCAATACTATATGGGATTGAGCATTGTAAACACTTGGAAATCTTTTACACTATCTTAACACATTATTTATTGTTTCAAACTAAGATCTTACAAATGGCTTGGAAATCTTTTACACTATCGCAACACATTCTTTATTTTTTCAAACTCCACGTGAATTTGGAATAGTTAAAATGTAAACTTATTTTGGATTTTTCACTATCGCAACACTTTTTCACTATCGCAACAACACGTTTTTCAAACTCTCGTAACACATTTTAACTATCGCAACACATTTTTCAAAATCGCGTTGCGAATTTGGAAACTGTGTTGAAAAATTAGAGTTCGCGTTGCGATTTGGTTGGTCATTTTGGCAAATCCAAAAAAAAATTGGTCAAAATCGTATATTATAAGGCATTTTCGGTCACTGAGGTTATTTTTTAAATGATTTATATCCCTTGAGCGTCCGCATATATATATATATATAGATATATATATATATATAGGGATATGAGCCATTATTAATCAAAGATTGAGATTTTTTGAATAAATACTATCTTGTATTGTGTTTAGATTTATAAAAAATTTAAATAATTGAGTGAATTAATATAATAAATTAAGTTGATATCAATTCATTTAAAAAATGATTAATAAATCAAATCCTTATACAATATTCACTAATATTTATAAACACAATTTTTTCATGTTTATATGATCTTATGAAGTATTCGATAATATTATAAATTTTTATATGTTATTCGTAGAA